AATTTTATATCTACATTTGAGTGAGGTGGGAGGGGTGATGTGGCATTAACACAAGACAGAACAAGAGGGGATATTAATAGGGTATTAAAAGTATCAACACAAGACAGAACACAAACAATGGGTATTGAATAGAAGTGTTTGTAGAAAGCCTATTGGTCCATATTTCTTGATGCTTCTATATTGGAGCGGAGTCTTGAGGTGGGTAGAATATAGTTGTGCAATAATTGGCTGTTGATTGCTGGTGTTGACTTCTTGATGTGTAGTGCCTCGCAAACGTCAAGCCGCCTGCTATCGCTGTATCTATCGATTATTTCTGTGTTGTTTACTAGGATTTCTCTGGCGATGGTTTGGTTGTGGGAAGAGATTATATGTTCCTTAATGGAGCCCTGTTGCTTATGCATCGTTAAACGCCTAGAAAGAGATGTTGTTGTCTTGCCTATATACTGGGTTTTTTGGAGCTTACAGTCCCCAAGTGGGCATTTGAAGGCATAGACGACGTTAGTCTCTTTTAAAGCGTTAAAGCGTCTTTTAACGCTAACGGCCGGACAAAAGGAAGTGATAGCCGAAGCTATTTGAACCACTTCCCTGCCGGCAACTCGGATGGTAATCTTGGGCATAGCATTTTATCAAATCGCCTCATTCTTTGGGGCACACGTGAGGAACACAAATGCGAACAAGCCTGAATGGTCCCCAGGACTATATGCGTCTGAAAGCTCACACCCCAGAAGTGACTCGAACCCATACTCCCAGGAGCAACGCAACTGGTAACTACGGGGCGCCTTAATCTGCTTGACCATCACGGCCGGACAAAAGGAAGTGATAGCCGAAGCTATTTGAACCACTTCCCCGCCGGCAACTCGGATGGTAATCTTGGGCATAGCATTTTATCAAATCACCTCATTCTTTGGGGCACACGTGAGGAACACAAATGCGAACAAGCCTGAATGGTCCCCAGGACTATATGCGTCTGAAAACTCACACCCCAGAAGTGACTCAAACCCATACTCCCAGGAGCAACGCAACTGGCAACTACGGGGCGCCTTAATCCGCTTGACCATCACGGCCAGACAAAAGGAAGTCCTCCCCGTAGTTACCAGTTGCGTTTCCTGAATTAATATATTTTCTCTAATTTTTTTTCTTATGAAATGATAAAGCTACCCATTTCATTATGTATGATGTCAATTTTTTTTTATTGGAGTTAAAATTAACGTAGATATATGACTGAACCTAACCAACCCTACCTAACCTAACCTAACCTATCTTTATAGGTTAGGTTAGGCTAGGTAGCCGAAAAAGTTAGGTTAGGTTAGGTTAGGTAGGTTAGGTAGTCGAAAAAACATTAATTCATGAAAACTTGGCTTATTAGGCAAATCGGGCCTTGCTATATATATATATATATATATATATATATATATATATATATATATATATATATATATATATATATATATATATATATATTTTATTAAATATGACCGAAAAAGTAAGATTAATAATTCTAACACGAATTTTCTCAATCTTTCGTACATTATGCTTCACTGTTGGAGGTAAATCAAAAATCACTTCTCCAAAATTCATTTTTATTTCTAGTCTGACGCGACACGGGCGCGTTTCGTAAAACTTATTACATTTTCAAAGACTTCACAAATACACAACTGATTAGAACTTGCATTTCCCTGATTTTATATCTACATTTGAGTGAGGTGGGAAGGGTGATGTGGCATTACATTTGAGTGAGGTGGGAAGGATGATGTGGCATTAGAGGATATTAATAGGGTATTAAAAGTATCAACACAAGACAGAACACGAAACAATGGATATTGAATAGAAGTGTTTGTAGAAAGCCTATTGGTCCACATTTCTTGATGCTTCTATATTGGAGCGGAGTCTTGAGGTGGGTAGAATATAGTTGTGCCTATTAATATCCTCTAATGCCACATCATCCTTCCCACCTCACTCAAATGTAATGCCACATCACCCTTCCCACCTCACTCAAATGTAGATATAAAATCAGGGAAATGCAAGTTCTAATCAGTTGTGTATTTGTGAAGTCTTTGAAAATGTAATAAGTTTTACGAAACGCGCCCGTGTCGCGTCAGACTAGAAATAAAAATGAATTTTGGAGAAGTGATTTTTGATTTACCTCCAACAGTGAAGCATAATGTACGAAAGATTGAGAAAATTCGTGTTAGAATTATTAATCTTACTTTTTCGGTCATATTTAATAAAATATGTCTACAGGAAAGACTGCTACCAAAATATATACTATATATATATATATATATATATATATATATATATATATATATATATATATATATATATATATATGTCGTACGACATATATATATATATATATATGTCTAGTAGCCAGAACGCACTTCTCAGCCTACTATTCAAGGCCCGATTTGCCTAATAAGCCAAGTTTTCATGAATTAATTATTTTTCGACTACCTAACCTACTTAACCTAACCTAACCTAACTTTTTCGGCTACCTAACCCAACCTAACCTATAGAGATAGGTTAGGTTAGGTTAGGTAGGGCTGGTTAGGTTCGGTCACATATCTACATTAATTTTAACTCCAATAAAATAAAATTGACCTCATACATAAGGAAATGGGTAGCTTTATCATTTCATAAGAAAGAAATTAGAGGAAATATAATAATTCAGGAAAACTTGGCTTATTAGGCAAATCGGGCCTTGCATAGTAGGCTGAGAAGTGCGTTCTGGCTACTAGGTACGACATATATATATATATATATATATATATATATATATATATATATATATATATATATATATATATATATATATATATATGTCGTACCTAATAGCCAGAACGCACTTCTCAGCCTACTATTCAAGCCCGATTTGCCTAATAAGACAAGTTTTCATGAATTAGTGTTTTTTCGTCTACCTAACCTACCTAACCTAACCTAACCTAGCTTTTTTTGGCTACCTAACCTAACCTTACCTATAAATATAGGTTAGGTTAGGTTAGGTAGGGTTGGTTAGGTTCGGTCATATATCTTCGTTAATTTTAACTCCAATAAAAAAACATTGACCTCATACATAGAGAAAAGGGTTGCTTTATCATTTCATAAGAAAAAAATTATAGTAAATATATTAATTCAGGAAAACTTGGCTTATTAGGCAAATCGGGCCTTGAATAGTAGGCTGAGAAGTGAGTTCTGGCTACTAGGTACGACATATATATATATGGCCAAAATATCGACAAGCAGTTTAATACTGTAATATTAAATGGCTCTAGCTTTTAAAATTAATAGTTTCCAGATATCAGTTTAATAATGTTGAAACTGCAATATTTAAATGCCATAAATATTTAATAGTTGTTTAGTAAGGATGGTAAGCAAAGAAATCAATGTATCAATATACGAAATAAACAAAATATTCTGAGCTGTTGTGATGGCCATAACTTTAATATTATTTTTTAGATTTATTTTGCACTCGTTAATCACAACATCGAAGGTTTTTCTGATATGAGTGTATAGAATATCAATTTTCTTTCTGCTATCAACTCCTAAACTATACTGGAAGAAAATGGGAATAAATTGTTGAGCAAGAGCTCCTTAATAATAATATGTTGTAAATTCCTAATTCATCAGTCATTTTTAAGCTGTAAACGAATGGATTTGCGATTATCGATTCAAGTAATATTCCTAGAATATATGTTACACTAATATATGTTAATAACTTGTTCAACACAAGTTATCTGTCTCCCACCTTAAAAAAATCTGAATAACATTTGCAGCCATCCACGATTTCGGAACTCTATCTGACACTAATTACCTATTACATATGCAAAACAATATATGATTAAGATCTTCTTTACATTCTTCATAAGCCCTGCCAAATATAGTTTTAGCCCTTGTGAACTTGTTAGGCTTATTTTCTTTCCATTTGTGAAATAACCTCGTCCCTGGTTGCCAATAAACCTTTTTACCTGCACTTTTCACTCCCTGCATAGATTTGTCTGGCTGAAGGCATACTGTCAAGTTCTTCTGTAGTAAATACAAACTTAAAGTCTAGTTAAAAGAATACCCACTTCTTTGTCATTATCCGTTTCTTAACCTTATCTCACTTACTTTCCTGTGGCTTAGTCGTCTTCTTAAGCTTAGTTTGATACATATGGGAAATATGGGTTTGTTTTTGCCTTCCCTGCTATATGCACTTCATAACGTAAATTTCTCTTCTTATTTAATTTTATATTATTTTTAGTTACTTAACTAGTTCGATATAAACTTCAACTTGCTTCATTTATTTGCATATAGCTTTCTCTTTCCTGATCAGGTACGTTTCATTATTCATTTCAAGGTGTGTTTATTCATTTTTTGGCTATGTTTCTCAACCTAACCATAGGATATGATATCTTTAAATTGTAATGTTTAAGGTCAGGCAAGTTTTAAATTTTTCTCACATTGACGTTTCACCTTGTAACTTCAGTTTAACCGAATGTTCTTTTTTGAAGTTTAAGACTTAATTGAAAAACTTTGTGAATTTTTGCCTTGACGAGAAAATACCAATTATTAATCAAAAGCTGTATTAACATAATCCCTTTTGTCATCTTGTAAAACGAAATATATAAGTAATAAATATAGTAATCAAATATTTTGTAACTCATACTAAGTGACAGTTTATAAAGAATATACAACCAACTTCTTTTTGTTCTTCTGTGAATTTAAATATTTTGAGACCTTTCCTTTGATGATTTCTCAAGGGCCACTAAAATAGTCATTAAACTCTAGACAAAGGAGTTAGTGAGACTCCCTTTTTATGCAGTCCAACAAAGATACCAGTAAATTCATCTCTATAACTCGCTCTTTCATTCAACACAAAATCATACATATTCCTTTTTATCATTATAGCATGTATTTTATTATCCGAGAAACAAATATTCAATTTATCTTTCTTAAACAGAATTACTTACAAAATGAGACAAGCAACATATCATTAGGAAATAATTAAGTTTTTCCCACAGGTATAAGTTGGCTGTAGAAAACTACTGGGACGTGAGTACTCTTGGTGATGACTTGAAACGCAATAACGGAGCCACCTTCACCACACTGGACCGTGACAACGATGACAACAGTGAGTATTTCATTAATAATTATCATCCACTAAAATATTAATGATTCATTAACTGAATTTTGTATATATATATATTTTGTCGCATTATTATTCTCACCAGCACACACACTGTGAAGAAAACATCTTCAATCCACGTTTTTTGTTCTTGTTATGCAAATTGCAAAGCCAAGATCCGTTAACTGTCATTTGAGAATATTTCCGATACTTCATAAGTGGGAAAACTTGCAAAACCAGGAAAAATGTTTTCTATTTTGCGTAAAAGGGTATATTATTGTGAAACATAAAAATATTAACCATATGAACATAACAATATTTTAACCTATCTTAATAAATTCCGATAATGATTTTAACGTTCGTAGCAGTGTCTGGTTTCTAGTTATCAATGAGTTACTTCCAAGCATATTTCTCATTGTAGAGAGAGATAGAATAAAGCTAGATGAATATCCACATCTATACTTAACATCTTAACTTTAAGTTAATTGAAGGGTGGGAATTCACCCTCTAATACTACTAGCAAACCTTTTAGAACTGCTTCAGAATACGACCAGTTGGCTGGTACTTCAAAACAGAAAACAGGTTATCAGCCTTTGAGGAATTGGGCTATTTGGAGACATTCCTAAGGGTAGTTCCTAAATTTTTGATAGAGGAAAAAGGGAGCAAATAGCCAAATGCAGTATTAAACACCTAAAGACAAACATCACATACATGTGCCACAAAACCAGGCGATGTTAGGTATTGATTTAACATTTAAAGTACAGATGCAAATATCTTTGTATTACTGGAAATTTTTAGTTGTCTAAATGACACTTCATTCAGGGTGTCTACTCAACCTGTTCTTTCAAATAGTACATCGCATTTTAACATATAAATTCCCTATGTCCAAAACTGATGTTCTAAAATCATTGTAACCTTCAAAATTTTTGTGATGTTTTGTTTCCTATTCATGGGTTCTCGATTAAGTTAGGTTAGGTTGGGGCAATTTAGTACATTAGTTTAGTGACGATGGGTACCCTGGAGAGGACAGGCTGGTCTACTACCTCTGGACGTATGTTAAACGTTTCTCTAGCCTAGCTTCACCCTAACAGTCCGCAGTATCTATCAATTATTAAGATTAAACTCAAGCATTGGTCGTCAATAATAAATATCAGAGAGGAAGAGATACGAAACAAAGCATATTACTTGACATTTTATGAAATGAAACAAATACAATGTGATAAAAATTCAAAATTGGCCACTCATGACCCATTCAACTCAATGTTTACTTTACTGCATGCACTCACCCGAGTATCACAAAACTAATGAACTAGAAATCATCTTCTCGAAAACAATGGTTACTGAGGCTCTCATGATTACTATTTTACACTAGCAGTACCCGGCCACGTGTTGCTGTGGCTCAGCACTGCATGTGCATTGCTGAGCCACAGTAACCTTCACTGTCCCAAGTTCGCCCCACCATTCCCTCCTCACCCGTCTCCTTGCCTCCAAACCATTACCCCCCCCCCCTCACCCGTCTCCTCGGCCTCCAAAACATTCCCCACTCCACCATCCCCTCGTCCTCCCCATTATTCCCCACTCCACCATCCTCTCTTCCTTCCCACCATGCCACACTTCCCTGTCCCTTTGTCCTCCCCAACATTCTCCATTCCCTCATCCCCTCATACCCATCATCCCAAACTCCACCACCCCATCGTAATTCCCCACCATCACCCCCTCTCTTGTCCCCTCGTCCACCCCACCATCTCTCACTTCCGTCCCCTCGTCATCCCCTACCATTCCCAACTCCCTCGTCCGATGCTTTCCCAAATGGTCTGATGTTCCCCTTCAGAAAACTGGGAACATCAAGTGATCTGATGTTCCCATCACTGATATATAAGAAAAACAGTTAAAAATGAAAGGAAAATATGAAAAAATAAAAAAATAAACTATACTCACGAAATGAATGGAATGTTAACAACACAGCTCAATTCCAACGCAATTCATACAAAATAATTAAATCAAAATCTATGAAAATTCAATATAACAGTGCAATCAGAAACATTGAAATGGAATTGTAACATATTTAGTATAGCATGTTTGTTGCTCTTACATGCAACAGATGGTGCTGTTTTCAAGAAAAGCATAGTTTTACCTGTCACAGGTGTGGCATCTATTCTTATACTTAGAAATGAACGGTATGGTAAACAACACCGATCAATTCCAACAGAAAGTCACACAAAATAATTCAATAAAAATTAAATGAATTGAAATCTATGAAAATAAAATTTATCAATGCAGTCAAAAACATTGAAATGGAATTCATTACATATTTAGTATAGCGTGCATTTTGCTATTATGTGCAACGGAGGGCGCTATTTTTCAAAAACGCATGTTTTTACCTGTCACAAGGGTGGCATCTATGTATTAGATATATAAAAAGACGCACCTATTCGAATACAATGTTGTGTCAAAATTTCAAAGCAATCGGTGAAGAGCTTTCGGAGATTACAGAGTGTGTTGATCGTATGTCCAACAGATGGCACTGATTTTCAAAAAAAGCATGTTTTTTTCCTGTCACAGGCGAGGCATTTATATATAGTAGTTATATAGAAAGACGCACCTATTCGAATGCAACGTTGTTTCATAATTTCAAAGCAATCGGTAAAGAGGTTTTGAAGATTTCCCTCACTTGAAAAACACAGGAAAAACACAGTTTTTCAGAAAAAGCATGTTTTTTTTTACCGTCACAGAAGTGACATCTATATATTAAGTGTATAAAAACCTGCTCGGATGCGAATGGAACGTTGTGTGAAAATTTCAAAGCAATCGGTGAAGAACTTTCGGAGATTAGCGGTTATGCACAAACGAACATTTCCATTTTTATTTATATAGATTTACGTTACCAGTAACTGCATTAACTGGTAAGAGCATAAACAAAGATCTTATATCTTCATTAAGTTTTGGCAATCAAATCTTAATTCCACCTAGAGTGAACAATGTTATGTAAAATGCAACCACATAATAAATCATGGAAATATTAGCATAGTCAAAACAAATACAAGGAAAGTCTGTTAATGTTCCTCTAAACGAAACTAACTGAAGGGGGCAGGGAAGGTAAGTTACTTAACTGCTGTGATGTGTTGAAAGCAATCAGCTGACGCCTACAGTCCTTCTAGCATGCAAGCGGGCCAGAAAATACAACTTGTGACTTCCTAGGTATTTACAGTGACATGGAGGGGGAATGATAAATACTCTTCCTTTACTCTTTCCACTTCAGTTTTGGTTCGTCGCCCCTGTATTCTCGCCTTGTCCTAAAAATATCTGCAGCAACCTTTTTTTTCCCTTTTCCATCTATATAAATAAAAATGGAAATGTTCGTTTGTTCAAAATCGCTGATCTCCAAAAAGTTCCTCACCGATTGCTTTGAAATTTTCACACAACGTTTCATTCGCCTCCGAGCAGGTTTTTATGTACATACTATATCGATATCACGTATGTGATGGGAAAAAACATTTTTTTTTTAAACTGTGCTTTTCATGTGAGGGAAATCTTCAAAAACTCTTTACCGATTACTTCGAAATTTTGACACAACATTGCATTGGAATAGGCGAGCATTTTTATATACCCACTATATACATGCCTCACCTGTGACAGGAAAAAACATGTTTTTCTTGAAAAACAGCGCCATATGTAGGACGTAGAAGCAACACACGCTTTAACCCTTTAACTGCGCAGCCAATATATATGACGCCCCCCAGTGCGCAAGAAATAAATTCTCAGGAAAAAAATATTTTTTGTTCTGTCAAAAAACCCTCTCTGTATATGGGTATAGGAACGGAATTCCAAAACTGTGCTTACTTTGGCTGCTATGAGGTCCGTAAGGTGGCACGTGATGTCATTATTCCCCGTGTGCCCATGCCATAAGCTCCCGGGGCCGGTGGGGCGCCTGGGGCGGGGTGCGCAAGTTGCCGCAAATATATTTTTGTTAATTTTTTGCGCACAGTTCCAAATACATTTTATTTGTTTTTACGTGCTAATCCTATGTATAATGAACACGTACACTATGTTATAGCAATAAAACATCCGTACTGTCCAAGGATACTGTGTTACGTGCATGACACTTGTGTACACATATATTGCACATATTTACCATGTATCATGCTAATTTACGTATATATACAATCTATTTACAGACTATACATTGTCACACACTATATACATTTACCATCAACACATTCAGAACACCGCGAGTGTGAGCTGTCACACCCAGCCAGCCCTCCCTCACTCCTCCAACATTGTATTCGCCAACATTGCTCCTCCCATCATGCAGTTATTCGCACCAATGTTTCATGTTCATTTATGTATATTTGCAACATATGTACACACTATACACTGTCACACACTATATACATTCACCATCAACACATTCAGAACATCGCAAGTGTGAGCAGCCACACCCAGATAGGCCCTCCCTCACTCCAACATCTTACTCGCCAATATTGCTCCTTCCACCATACTGTTATTGTTTTTATTACACTATTTACACATGTTATATATACTTATCAACATGTTTTCTTTACCAGAACTATGCAAGTAAGCCGGTATTGTGTCCAAACAGTACAGTGGCCACCATACACTGCATGAGAAATCACACAGCAGACAGCAGACGATGCTACGATTACGACGTCACCTCCCTCACCAACATAGCTCCACTCAACATACTCCTGTTGCTGTTATGACACTATACACACACACACACACTGTATATACTCATATAAATATGTGTTACCCATAGCGAACCACGAAGCTAGTATGATGAGCAAAACAAGAGTGGCTGCCACACAGTGAGGCTACCTCAATTCTCTCCCTCCCTCCCTCACCAAAATTCCTCCTTCCACAATACTACGCACAACACTAATTATAACCACAATCCTGGTCACTAATTTCTGTAAGTGAATAATTGACCACAAGTTTATTTTGAAAAAGAACCTAAGAAGTCGTTTGAAGATTCCTAGATGGACGAAATAATGCTGTGGTGCTGTTACTAGCGCTGTGAACATCGTGAACAGCATTGAATCACTGATATTTGAACATTGTACCCAGTCATTATCACACTCAGGCTCTTCTATAATACTATCATGGTTAAATATGCAGGTTATATATATATTTTGACATTATTAGGCGATGCTGTGGTCACACGCTGAACAGCAGGGCTGGGCGCTCATGCTGTGAACGCCAGCCTTGATTGCTCACTCACTACTGAGGCTCTCACACCCAGCAATGTGGACCATGATTTTTTTTAAAAGATGGTGTCTGTTTACAAGAGCCCTGAGGAAGCTGATGTGAACCCCATGTAGCCGCGGGAGTATTGAATGGAACGTGAAAAATAAAAACACCCGGAGGCGCATTGCGCACCCGAAGCCTGGGCCTGCAGGCGCGTTGCACAGTTAAAGGGTTAATCTCCGAAAATTCTTCACCGATTGCTTTGAAATTTTGACACAACGTTCTATTTGAATACGTGCGTGTTTTTATATACCTACTATTTATATGCCACACCTGTGACTGGAAAAAACACTATTTTTTTTTTAAACAGCGCTCTCTGTTGAACGTAAGACCAACACAAGCTATACAAAATATGTTACGATTCCATTTCAATGTTTCCGATTGCATTGATAAATTGAATTTTCATAGATTTGTATTTATTTTCATTTTGATTTAATTATTTTGGGTGACATTGCATTGGATTGGAGCTGAATTGTTTACCATACCGTATACATTTTGTGGGTATAGTTTATTTGTTTCATTTTTCATTGTTTTTCTTTTCGTTCTTTTAACTGTTCTTATTATATTTCAGTGCAATTGGTGGTGAAATTGAGCTGTGTCGATTGATCTGCGTTTGAATTGAAATATTTCGTTAGTATTTTTTGTTTTTGTTTTGAAAACATGAAAGTGGACAACACGTTTTTACAGCTGCAGATGTGCAACAAACAGATATGAATCCACCAGCTACACGTTAACTGCTTTCTCTGTTTTATGTCAAAATGACATGTTTGCAAAAACAATGCTGTATTCGGAAGTGCCTACGTATTACACATGGAATGCCAGTAGAAAATCATTTGAACGACGCAAACGAGGAAAGCGAGTCGATGGACAACTTGGCATATTCAAATAAACTACGATAGGCAGACTGTACACCGTGCATCCTAATTACGATGAATGCTTCTTTCTTCGCATACTGTTGGTAAGTGTGCCCGGTCCAACGTTTTTCCAACAATTGAGATTTGTCAACGGCGTAACAGATGCCACTTCCCGTAGTGCATGTCAAGCTCTGAATTTATAAGAGAACGATTGGCACTGGGATGTATGCATTAATGACTCGTTCAACACGTCACATCCACATCAAATTCATGTATTATTTGCAACCATATTGACCACCGGCTCTCCTTCATCTCCACCAGTTATGGGATAATTATAAATCGCACATGGCTGAAGATATTATCCGTCGAATATGCAAGGAAAATTTAAATATGAACATAGATTTTACAGCAAAAATCTTCAACGAAGCCTTGATAATGATTGAAGAATTGTGCTTAGAAATCTCGAAGAAAGTTCTCAATCAATTGGAAATGCCATCATCGAATCGATCTGCTGCTGGTGCTTCGTTCGAAGTAGAATTTCGTCGTGAACAAAATTACAACACGGGTGATCAATTGTCGTACGTTTAATCAAATATTCCTAGGCTAACGCTTGAGCAAAAGGGCATTAACAATCAAATAATTCAAACTGTCAATAACGGACTTGAAGAACTGTACTTAGATGCGCAAGGAGGAACTGGTAAAACCTTCCTAGTTAGATTGATTCTGGCAGCATTTCGATCCCATAATGGCATAACTTTAGCTCTTGCATCGTCCGGAATTGCTGCGACATTGCTACCAGGTGGAACACCTGCTACTTGGGCTTTGAAATCGCCATTGAACATGCAATTCATTGAAACCCCCACGTACAACATTTCCAATGCATCCGGCATGGGAAAAGTATTGCAGAAATGCATTCTTATTGTTTGGGATGAATGCACAATGCCCCACAAAAAATCGTTCGAGGCTCTTGATTGACCATTGTAAGATTTGTGTGGAAACATCAGACCATTTGGGAACGCATTAATATTGCTTGCAGGAGATTTCAGGCAAACATTACCTGTAATTCCTCGATCGACACCAGCGGACGAAATAAATGCTTGCCTGAAATACTCTACTTTTTGGCGCCACATAAAAACGTTTAAATTAACAACAAATATGCGTGTAGTTATGAAGCTACTGCAAAACGATCCATCAGCTGAGATATTCTCCCATCAATTTCTAGAAATTGGGAACGTAAAAGTGCCAGTTGATCTGACATCAGGACAAATTTCATTGCCTCATAACTTCTGCAATTTAGTGACGTCAAAAGCAGAATTAGTTGAAAAAGTATTTCCCAATATTGAAACCAATTATAAGAATCACGACTGACTGAGTGAACGAGCTATTCTTGTAGCAAAGAACAAAACGTGTACGACCTTAACAATATTACTCAGTCTGACATTCAAAGCAAGGCAGTCACATACAAGTCCGTCGACACTGTTGAGGAAGCAGATGAAGCCGTTAATTATCCAACAGAATTTTTTAATTCACTCGATCTGCCAGGGATACCATCACACGTACGGCAATTGAAAATCGGCGTGCCAATAATCATGTTGCGAAATATCAACCAGTCAAAACTTTGCAATGCCACGCGTCTTGCAGTAAAAAAAAAAATAATCAGCGACGTCATAGAAGCAACAATCTGACAGTCTGACAGGACTTTTCAAAGGGGAAGATGTCCTCATTCCTCGCATTCCTATGATTCCAACAGATATGCCATTTCAATTTAAGAGATTATAATTTCCAATTCGATTGACGTTTGCAATCACCATCAACAAAGCTCAGGGCTTTGATTGCTTCTCACGTGGATAATTATATGCTGCTTGTTCTAGAGTCGGCAAACCAGACAAGCTCTACATCTCCACAGACAATGGAACAACAAAATTTTATACCCACAAGCATTGTGAAATTAAACATATTAGAAACGTGCGCTTTCTCTTTTCTTTCGTTCCCATTTAACCAGACTGAGCCACAGCAACGCGTGGTGGGTACTGTTAGTTCGATAATAAGGGAAGACTGGGGAGGTAACGCTGATGTTCTGGCACTGTCTCACCACAAGAGTTACACTCCAGCAGTTGATCCATTCTACCCTCCGACTACTAAAAGTAACCAATGTGTGAATGAGGACCCCAGGCCTTCTCTGCAATACTGTGTCGTTGTAGACCGGTTAACTCTTCCACTAAGGTATCACTTCACATGTGACGTATCAAGTGACTCTAGCTTCAGACCACCATTTCGCAGAAATGTCACTGCTAACTGTCTGCTGCAGCTGAGGTGCCTGTAATTTGGCCACTGCCTTGTCCCAAATTGAAATCACTAATGTTACCAATCAACACTGCAGACTTAGTACCTCAGTGCTCAGCACACTGTCTCAATGCATGAAAATAATACGGGGAACTCACATCGTGAATGCTTCACAGTCTTGTTCTTACCTCAGCTTTTTCTTCCGTCTCTTTCGATCGGGACTGCTCTAGTCGTCGTGGAAAATTTTGCAGAAGCAGGCTATGGAGTAGCTCTACAAAACTCTCTGCACTGAATGGTCCTGCACCGCCACACTCGTGATGTCGACAACAGTCCTAGACTCTCAGCCGTCATCAGGCTCCAACTAGACTTCAGGGATTCCTTGGTAATTGACGTGAAACATCTCCCAGAGGCTCGCCAGGCTTCTCCTACCATCGTTTCTAAGTCCTTAGTTCTCGATATTGCACGTCTGCAATTTTTTTTAAATCGAGAGCAAATCATAATACATCTTACCACACAAACTGATGGGAAAGCAGTGACTGATGGGAAAGAAGCAACGCAGGAAAAATATATTCATATTAAGTGTCACTTTCGCGCATTTGATGATTTCTAGGGTCGTCACCAAATTTTCTTACGTTTCCGCATAACAGACTACACGTGTAGTCCAGTGAAAAAATATTTGTATAAATTATACCCATCAACGCGACGCCTACCCATCAACATTGGTGTTCCCCAGGGCAGCATACTTGGCCCTCTCCTCTTTCTCATCTACATTAATGACCTTCCAAATGCCTCCCAACACCTCAAACCAATTCTATTTGCTGACGACACAACCTTCATTTACTCCAGTCCTGATCCCCTTGCTCTAAATGCCACAGTAAATACTGAGCTAAATAAAGTCCATCTGTGGCTAACTGCCAACAAACTCACCCTTAACATTGACAAAACCTTTTATATTCTGTTTGGCAATAAATCCTCTAATCAAATAAATCTCAAAATAAACAATACCCAAATTTGTAACAAATTAGATGGCAAATTCCTTGGCATTCTCATTGACCACAAGCTTAATTTCCAGGGACACATTCTAAACATATCAAAAAAAGTTTCAAAAACTGTGGGCATTCTTTCTAAGATCAGATATTATGTACCACGCCCTGCCCTGGTGACTCTCTATTACTCCCTTATCTATCCATATCTCAACTATGGTATTTGTGCTTGGGGCTCTACTACCCAAAATCACTTACGTCCTCTAATTACTCAAGACAAAGCTGCTATTAGGACAATATCCAATTCTGGCCCCAGACATCACTCGGTACCCCTACTTAAATCTCTGAATATGTTAGACATTAAGTCACTGCACATTCTCTCATGTGTATTATACATATATAAAACGCTAAACTATAATGCCAATCCTGATCTCAAAAGCTTCATAGAAGGTTGTATCAGAACCCATGAGCATCACACCAGAAATAAATACAGTTTTGATATTCCTAGAGTACGACTTAATCAAACTAGAAATGCTCTACAAATCAAGGGGCCCAGAATGTGGAATGACCTTCCCAACCATGTTAAAGACTGTACCTCTCTCAACCAGTTTAAGTTAAAAGCGAAGCTATACCTAATAAATTCCCTGTAACCTACCTTACCCTTCTATTGTCAACCAATGTCTGTTTTTTTCTTTAAAGAGCGCTGTTTGTCGACATAATTGTATTTGTGCTGCTTTTTCATCTATGTTTTCATTTCTTGTTTTCATTCTAATCATTATGCTCAATTAGTATTAAGCTTGTCATTTAAGTTTATCATGCCCGAAACGCTTTGCGTAATAGTGGCTTTAGGCATTGTATGTAGTAGCTATACCTATAAGTCAAACATTCCTTGTAAATATTTATTGTACGTATGTACCTTACCTAAATAAAATTGTATTGTATTGTATTGTATAATTCCATTCATTATCCCATCAGCTTGGGAATAGTTTACAAATGTTTGCCATGAAATTTACGTTTTTTCTAATAGCAGAACAGCTTATTAAAGAGAACGGTGTGGCAGTGAATCATCGTGGTAAAACAATTGTATTATTGACACGACGAGTATAATCGACGTAGTTTATATATATGTTGCCGGTCGAACGCATCCTTATGTGACCTTTAGTAATTATGTTATAATAGAACATTCTATTGCGAACACATTGGAACAAAAATGAAATACATACATCGAAAAATAATGTCAGGGCAGTGAATTGAATATACACTTTTCAAAGCGAGTTTCGCCGATATGCCGCCGCGGGTAACACTTCGGCCACTTCCCACACTGTTTTGGGTAAGCTACGACATTGAATCTATATTTATATGCATATGTCCGTGTAGAGAATTTTATTGCGATTCCAATGATACCACAATAGCGATGTAGGACAACTGTAGGCTTCGCAACCATTAAGAGAGTGGAAACATTTTGTTGCTCTCGGCGAGTGATCTGAATAGTTTTTTATTTGGTGTTGATAGTCCTTATGCTTTGGCGGCATTTTATAGGCATGTTCTTATAGACAATTTTATTGCGAACATAGTGATACCAAATTTAAATACGTGCGCCTTCAATTATTGTCAGGACAGTTAAAAGAGTGTACACTTTTTTGGTCTTACCGCGTAGGCGCGCGAAACGCCGAAAGCACATACGGTAAGTTTTTTTCAGAAAGCAGTGTGTGCGAAAGTGTTAAGTATAAGCAAACAGGGAGACCCTAATATATAACATTTAGCAGTCCCCGTGGTGTAGTGGTAAGACACTCGCCTGGCGTTCCGCGAGCGCTATGTCATGGGTTCGTATCCTGGCCAGGGAGGATTTACTTGGCGCAAATCCTTAATTGTAGCCTCTGTTTAACGCAACAGTAAAATGTGTACTTGGATGAAAAAACAATTCATCGCGGCGAGGATCATATTCCAGGGACCTGCCCGAAACGCTACGCATACTAGTGGCTGTACAAGAATGTAACAACTCTTGTATATATCTAAAAAAAAAATGAAAACAGTGTGTGAGCTAGGAAACAGTGCTCAATTGGAGATCAGATTCATATTAGCCTGAAAATTTTGTGTAAGAAATGCCTCCTTCAGCTCTGGCAGATGTTTGACATCAGGTACCTGTGTGAAAATGTCGTCAACATACCTGCAGTATATGGCCGGTTTCAAGTTCATGTCGACTAAGACCTTCTGTTCGATGGTACCCATGTTGAAGTTCGCAAACAGGACACCTACACATGCCCATCCGGGCTCAAGAAGGGTGCCTCTTTAGTACAAGCTTGGAGTAGTTTCCTTAGAATGTTTCTGGTATGTCAAGAGGAGTACAGGCCGGATCACGATACACTCTGTCCGCTATCATCCCGATTGTTTCATCCACAGGTTCGTTGGTAAACAGTGATTCTACGTCCAACGAGGCTCTTATCCCTGTGGCCTGTGTTCCCCACAGTAAGTCAACAAATTCCTTTGGAGACTTCAGGCTGAAGGCGCAAGGGACATAAGGAGTCAGCAAGCCGTTGAGTCGCTTTGCCAGTCTGTACGTGGGTGTGGGTATCTGGCTGATGATTGCCGAAGTGGGTTTCCAGGCTTGTGTGTCTTGACATTTCCATACGCATACCGAGGTTTGTATTCCCAAAAAATCTTTGGCAAGTGGAGCCCGGATTTCTTGGCATTCACAGTTTCGATTAAAACTGTGTATATATATATCCCGAATTGAAAGCAAAGGTTAACAGATTGATTGACCGAATTGAAAGCAAAGGTTAACAGATTGATCGACCGAATTGAAAGCAAAGGTTAACAGATTGATCAACAGAATTTAAAGCAAAGGTTAACAGATTGATCGACCGAATTGAGAGCAAAAGTTAACAGATTGATCGACCGAATTGAAAGCAAAGGTTAACAGATTGATCTAAATTGTGAATGCCAAGAAATCCGGACTCCACCTGCCAAATATGTGTTCCAATGATCCTACTTAAATCGCCCTTTAATTGATCTATTAAAAATGGATCTAAGTTATATAAACCACTGCTAATGTTCAAATTACTTTCTTTTGTGATCTGTATCAAAGCAGATTCAATTATGTTTCTGTTATACGTGCTTTTACAACTTTTTTAATAGATCAATTAAAGGGCGATTTAAGTAGGATCATTGGAACACATTTGTCTCACTAATTCATTGTAAATATTTACTATTTTATGCTATGATTATCCTTGTTTGGGCCTGTGTGTGGTTGCTGCATCGGATGGGCCAATAGGCCCTCTGCAGTGTCCACAGTGTGTGAGGAATTGAATAAGAAATTCCAGGAGGTCTTCACCTTAGAACAAGGAGAAATTCCAGAGGTAAGTGAGGGAATAGCTAACCAGGAACCACTGGAAGAGTTTGAGATTACCAGTGGGGAAGTAAGGAAGTGTTTACTAGAGTTGGACGTGACGAAGGCTATAGGCCCAGATGGAATCTCCCCTTGGGTTCTAAAGGAAGGAGCAAGAGAACTGAGCCTACCACTCTCCATAGTGTATAACAAATCACTGGCAACAGGGGAACTGCCAGATATTTGGAAAGCAGCTAACGTAGTCCCGATATACAAGAAAGGGGATAGACAGGAGGCACTGAACTACAGGCCAGTGTCCCTAACCTGCATACCATGCAAGCTGATGGAGAAGATTGTGCGAAAAAAACTAGTGGAGCATCTGGAGCGAAGGAACTTTGTAACACAGCATCAACATGGGTTCAGGGATGGCAGGTCCTGCCTCACAGGGTTACTTGAATTCTACGACCAGGCAACAAAAATAAGGCAAGAAAGAGAAGGGTGGGCAGACTGCATATTTTTGGATTGTCAGAAAGCCTTTGATACAGTGCCACACAAGAGGCTAGTGCGAAAGTTGGAGATGCAGGCTGGAGTGAGAGGGAAGGTACTCCGGTGGATAGAGGAATACCTAAGCAACAGGAGACAACGAGTCTGTGTGAGGGGTGAGGTCTCAGATTGGCGAGACGTCACAAGTGGAGTCCCGCAGGGGTCAGTCCTTGGACCTATACTGTTTCTGGTATATGTAAATGATCTCCCAGAGGGTATAGATTCGTTCCTCTCAATGTTTGCCGACGATGCAAAAATTATGAGGAGGATTGAAACAGAGGATGATAGTAGGAGGCTACAAGATGACCTGGATAGACTGAGTGAATGGTCCAACAAATGGCTGTTGAAGTTCAACCCGAGTAAATGCAAAGTAATGAAACTAGGCAGTGGAAACAGGAGGCCAGGCACAGGATACAGAATAGGAGATGAAGTACTTAATGAAACAGACAGAGAGAAAGATCTAGGAGTTGATATCACACCAAACCTGTCTCCTGAAGCCCACATAAAGAGAATAACGTCTGCGGCATATGCGAGGCTGGCTAACATCAGAACGGCGTTCAGGAACCTGTGTAAGGAATCATTCAGAATCTTGTACACCACATATGTAAGACCAATCCTGGAGTATGCGGCCCCAGCATGGAGCCCGTACCTTGTCAAGCACAAGACGAAGCTGGAAAAAGTCCAAAGGTATGCTACTAGACTAGTCCCAGAACTAAGAGGCATGAGTTATGAGGAAAGGCTGCGGGAAATGCACCTCACGACACTGGAAGACAGAAGAGTAAGGGGGGACA